GCTGGCTTTGCAGCGTTTCCTGCCAGCTCACGGCAGCAGGGAGCTCAGCTGACGGGACCCCACTGCCATCCTCACCGTTTGAGAGCAGGGTAGGACTCGGATGGCTGGGGAGCTGGTGTTAAGATCATAACCCCCAGGTCCCCGGTGGTGACACCACCCTGTGCCACTCACTCCCTGTTACCTCTCCAGCTTCTGAGTTTGATGCTGAACACTCCCTCACTCAACACCCCGTAAAGAATCTAGCTCATGTCCGGGTACCCTGTCCTCCCTGTACCACCTGTCGCCGAGGTGTGCTGCAGTGTTGGGATGGGACTCTGTCCTGAGCACCAGATGCTGGTCCACCATTTGATGTCACCCAGCCCATCCCAGGGCCTCTAAAAATGAAGACCTGTGACAGTCCTGTTTTTGACCTATTTGAACATTTCTGTGCATGCTGTCCATCATCTGGTTTCTTTCCCGAGTGTGTTGACTGAACAGCAGGCAGCTAGGTAATGTTTGTGTTTGGTATAGAACCCAACTGTTGATTTTAGTTTTTAAGATATATATTTTTAAAAACCCAGCAATGTAGGCAACCCCACGGAAGCTTCTCTTCACCCTATAATTCTGTTTCCTGAACAGTGTGCACTTCAATAACTTATCAGAGAAAGATAAACCTGTGAATGGCAAGTTATTTACATTGTTCTGAATTGATTTTCGATCCTTGTCGAACATCCATTTTTACATTGTGGATCTGTGCAGGTATTCTATTTAGTGTGCTGTTTTCCATAGAACATTATTTCTTTTATAATATTGTAATAACTCGATAATGGGAACTCGCCTTTCAGTTGCGTTTTTACAGTTTACAAAGCTCTCCTTCTGCCTTATCTCAAGCTTCCTACTGTAGCGTCCTGTATTGTATTGCACGAGACGGGCTACATAAAGGAAGAAGAAGAAGAAAAAAACCCCAAAACAAACCTGGGTCCAAGTCCTGCATTTGAAATGACAAGCTGTGTGACCTTGAGAAGTGCCTTTACCTCCTGAAACCAGTTTCCTTCCTTGTAAAATGGGCAAGAAGAGCATGAGATGAGAGCATATATATAAAGCATCTTGTAGCACAGTACCTGGCATGTAGTAGGTACTAAATAATGATCATTTTAATTTTTTGCTATTATAAATAGCAATCATGTTTTTTTTTTTTAAGATTTTATTTATTTATTTTTAGAGAGGGATGTGAGGGAGAAAGAGAGAGAGAGAAACATCAATGTGTGGTTGCTGGGGGCCGTGGCCTGCAACCCAGGCATGTGCCCCGACTGGGAATCGAACCTGCGATGCTTTGGTTCGCAGCCCGAGCTCAATCCACTGAGCTACGCCAGCTAGGGCTGCAATCATGTTTTTATGTGTCTCTTAAGTTTTCCATTATATTTCTGTATGGCCCACAGTTGATTTTTCCTTCTATAAGCCAATGACCCTTTAGGAAAATAATTTCATTATTCTACCTTGAAGGAAGTATTAATTGTTGAGTGTACCTTGATCGATTCATAAGGTTCCAAATCAAGTAGGAAATTTTCAGGCATTCCAAAACTATAGTTCCCCAAAATTCAGTGATAATCTCTTTCCCACTAAAAGCTCAGAAACAGAAAAACTGAATCCATTGGAATAACACCCCTGTGAACGTATAATTGTCTCTGGGGAGAGGACAAACCCTATGAAATGTCATTTGTTCATTCATTTGTTCATTCACTCACTTATTCCCATGAACATTCAGCAAACATCTGCTGAGTATTGACTATGTGCTAGACAATGCTGAGAATATTGGCTATTGGAAGAATTTTATGGAGAAGATACATTTCAGAAGAAAAATCAAAAAGTCAAATTGATAACAACACCTGTTTTATTTTAGTTGATTGCATCTGTTGTCAAAAAAAACAACAACAAAAAACAACAACCTTAAGTGAATCTACTAGGGCAGGCTCTTAAGAAGGGAAATGAATGAAAACAGAAGGTGAAACCAAATTTTATTTTACTTTCCTCAGCCAAGAAAAGTCTAAAATGGCAGCCGTCCAAACCGTTTTAGACTTGGACCAGACAATGCCTAATCGGACCCCTCCCCGCAACTGCCTTGAAGTCCAGGGAGTTGGTAAACCCTCTGTGTTATATGCAAAATTATGTGAGCATGCCCATTTTCTGGGCTTCAGAGCTGGCACTGAATTTTCAAATTGGCAACTTCCTGTAACAGGGATGGTGCCCTCCTCGAGAGCCAAGAACTGTGGACCTCCACTTAAACTGACCTTCGTAGTAAAGTAACCGAGGGAGTGACTCACCTTCCACCCACAGAATGCTTTAGGGAACGAGCTTTGTGAGTGCCGCACCGTTGTTTGGGGGGGGGGGTATGAATTATTTCACTGATTAGTTAGTAGCAGTTAATATCGGTCAATAAAATCTTTGACTGCTTTTATGATTAAGGACATTAGGCATTAATAATAACCAATAGTACTAGTATTAACTATATAATTGATGAGTACTAGAAAAATCTTTCAAGTGCCGATCAGTGCTGTTTGGATACTAATGATAATTAAAAACTTCACAATCAACAGTGGCCATACAGTGAGTGAGGAGGATTTATTGTTTAGCCAGAAGCCTGTTCCCCAGGTATAGGCCCCACGAGGTTGCATGTGACTTCCTGTGTATACCCACAGCTGGCCCAGGGTCATGACCCCAGGAGGTAATCCATAAGTATTGATTGAACAAATGACTCAGCCTCATTGTGGCCCCTTCCTTTGTCCCTACTGGGCAAGAACCGCTGGCATTTAGGCTGGAGCTGAAGTCTGAAGAGAATTCTTACCTCAACTCAGAGCCCAGAGGGGAATGCAGGTACCTACGATGACGTGTGTGCCCCTGGCCCTGGCCCGGGCAGGGGGGTCCTGTTTCCTGTGCACCGGCTCAGCCTCCCCTTTGGTGGCAGCTCAGGGCCCTCTGAGGGCATTGCGACAAGACGCGACGGCTGTAGGACGCTGTGCCTGGGAGTCTGGGTCTGACACCTGCAGTCTGGGCCTGGCTGCCACCACCTCCGCCTTCTAGTTGCCTGTGACACAGACGGAAACAAAACATAAACCAAATCGATTATCGTAAGGTCACAGGTGTAGCTTGTGAAAGACTAGACAAGACTTAAAAGAAATTAGACTGCAGCCAAATGAAATGGAAAAGAGTTTTGAGAGAAATTGAATGTAATAACCCCGTGTGATGATTATTTTAGAGTGGCGTCTGGTACATAGCCTAGGACTTGTTTTTAAAAACAAAACCGTACGTGCTTTTGTAGTTAATGGCTCTGCTTTGGCTTTATTTCTTTTGTACCACTTGTACTTACCACAGTGCTGGGCATAATATTACAGACCAGGGCGAAAAGCTAGGTGGGGCCCAGTACATCCTCCTGGATAGACTGGGTAGGGTCTTGGTCTGCTAGGCCTCCCGCAATGAAATGCCACTGATGAAGTGACTTAAACTGCGACATTTTTTTCTCGTGGCTCTGGAGGCTGGAAGTCCAAGATGAAGGTGTCAGCCGATTCAGTTCCTGGGGTGGACTTTCTCCCCAGCTGGTAGACAGCTGCCTTCTCTCGGTGTCCTTGCGTGGCAGGGAGAGAGTGAGCCCTGGTCTCTCTCCACTTGTAAGAACACTAATCCCATCACAGGGGCCCACCTTCATGGTCTTACCTACACCTAATTAGCTCCCCACAGGCCCCACGTCCCAACACTGGGGTCACACTGGGGTTAGGGCTTCCAGATACAAATTCTGGGAAGGGGGACACAAGCCCTTGGTCCATAACAGTTGGGGAAGGCACAGGTGGGCCCCTGGCTCCTTAGTTCTTGCTCCTGTCCTCCTGCTCTGGCCAGGGTGAAGATGGGTATTCTCAGAGAATTGGACGATAATCTGTACCAAGAGCGACTGGGAGGATTGGTCAGTGGTCTCCCCGGGAGGGCTTATCGGAGAGCAGGAGAGTTGCCTACTGTGCTTCCCTCCTGGAATGCCGGAACCTTTCCCATGGCCCTGGTGCCAGCCTCACTCACCCACTAGAGAGCCATTGTCGGTGACCTTGTGAGGCCGTCTGGGATCCGCAGCTCCGGTGGGGAGGTAGCCTCAGAGCCGAGTCCCTGCCTGCAGAGGGGCTGGAGCATGCTCTGCAGATGTCACTGGACTCTGGTTCTCTGCCAGTGACATTTAATTTCACATCATTAAACTGACAACTGAAATGCCAGATAAGTCTTCCCGAACCCCCCTTTTTATCCAGCCCTCACTCAAGAATCCCCGGGGGCGCCAAATTGCCAACATTCCGAGCTTTTCATCCACGTGGTCCAATCCCTTATCTCTTACTTCTCCTGTATCACCTAACCTTGTTTTCTCATTCCAATTTAATTTTTAGCACAAAATAGTTTAGATGTACAAAAAAGTACAGAAAGTAACATAAATGCTGAGGTACCAACCACTCGGCCTCAGAAACCAACATAACCGCAGTTCCGTTGTGGCAGCACTCTCCAGGCCCCTGGGAGCAGCACCACGAAGCCTGGGTCAGGGGGCAGCAAAGGCAGTTCAGCCACGTGCTTAAGAGCGAGGGTCTGGGGGCTGGGCAGGCCCAAGTGAATTCTATTTCTGCTTCCTCGATGGGCCAGTTCAGAAAAATCTGAAAACCTCGCAGAGCCTCCGCTTCCTCATCTGTGAAATGGGGAGATGGTAGAGTGTACCTCCCAGAGCGGTGGAGATGAAGTGGAGTAACTCAGTAAAGTGCCGAGCCAGCGCCGGCCGTGTGGGGAGCACTCGGCAAGTGGTAGTTGTTGTTACTGCTGGTGGCTGGTGGCTGTTTATTGTCTTGGATTTGGACTTCGTTGGTGGGCCCCAGGGGAGCAGTTTTCCCACCCACCCTTACTCCAGGGGAGGTCTGGGGAGTCGTCAACCTTTAGACCCAGGCAGGCGGGCAGGGTGCTTTGGTGGGGTGCTGTGAGATGACAGATGGGTGCTTGGTGGATTTCAGATGCTCCTTCTGGCTGTCAAGCAGCTGTTTCCAGAGTTCGAGTTCATGTGGCTGGTGGATGAAGCCAAGAAGAACCTGCCTTTGGAGCTGGATTTCCTCAACGAAGGGAGGAATGCAGAGAAGGTGGCCCAAATGCTCAAGCAGTTTGACTTTCTAAAGGTAGGAGGGGGCAGGGCAATGGGGGCATGGTGGCTTGTGGGAGAGTGCAGGGGAGGGCTGATCCCAGCCCCGGGCACCCCCCCTCCTTGCAGGACGTGAGTGGGGACGTCTTCCTGGGTGGTGCACATTGAAGCCCTGGAAGGCACCACTACAGAGAAATACCAAATGTAATTGTTGCCCTGCCAGGCAATCAGACAGATGTTTATTGAGTGATTTACAATTTCAAGACACTGAGTGCTACCCAAAGTCCTGTAAGCTGTAGTCTCTGCCTCCATGAAACACAGGGTGATGGTGATGATGATGGTGGTAATGGTGGTGATGATGATGATGATAGCGAATGCTACTGTATTATGGCACTGTTCCTACACTTTATGTATATTATAGTAGCTCATTTACTGTACAGTCAGTTCTGCCAAAACAAACGTGTGTGTCCTTAGAAATATCCACAGTATGCAAAGTCACTCAACAGAAACCACTGGGTTCACGGGGAAAACAGGTTCTGCTTAAAACTCTCAGAACATCACCAGTGACACAGAAAATGAAACGAGATAGGAATCTGATAGAAGTGGTAGCATAGTTTTGCACACATTAAATAGCTATGAAATACATGAGACGCCAGGACACGTGGCACTTCACCTTGACATCGGCTTGCGAAGCGGGCCTCAGAAGAGGAGCCACTTGCGAGTTACCGTGAGGTGGTGGAAGGAGGGCCACCTGCAATGGGACAGCAAGTTGTGATACCAGGTGTGGGTGGGGGTGGCCCACATCACACGGGGAGGTGTCTGAGATATGTGTGTGTTGTGTTTTCCTGGGTGGTGTGGCTCAGCTGGGCGTAGCTTTCTGTGTTCGTGTGGCATTTCTTGTGGGTGGTAGCACACATTAGTAAATGCAAAATTTGCACTATGATCGACTTGTTCCGTAACTTGTCACTAGCACTGGAACAAATCTGTGTTTTCGAGTATTACAGTAGAACTGCCTATGTGATAGAAGACGCTCGTTGTGGGAAATAGACCATACACGGTTGCAGCTTGGTGATAGGTCCTGCTGGTGAGAGCTCCAACGGTTCAGAAGAAGGGACGCTCATGGCCAACGAGGGCAGGAAGGCTCTGCTGAGGAGTTGGCACTGGCGCTGGTCTCCGAGGGCTGTCCAGATGAGCCCCACAGGGCTCATAGGGGTTGGAATGAGACATACGCCAACACTGCTGTTCTAACGCAGTTTATCCTTTGTGGGCTTTGTGTCCATTTACCCGGCGGCACCTCTTCATGGTGCAGGGGTTGGGGCCCTGTGGTAGTTTATATAGAGAGGTTGGCTGTCAACTCTCAGAAGGGATCAGCCCGTCTCTCTTAACTCAGGATGTCTGGAGAATGTGGGAGGGGAGTCGTGAAGTGCTTAAGAGCTTTTCCAGGGCTGTCAAGGAGCACCCACCCCTCTTGGGGAGGGTATTTCGGGACATTGAGTGGGAAGGTCTCTTGCTCTGGACTGAGGTGTTCATGTGGCTTAGAAGACATCGTGGGAAATGGAGGTAGTGTTTATACTTCTGCTATCCCGATTGATTAACAGAGGTGGGGAGACCGAGGGTGTGTCTACACTGGCCACCTAAGAATCAATTCTAAGAACCATAAAGTTTGGCTGATGAGAAGAAAAGCCACAACTGGGGTGATCAGTGCAGTGCTTTGACACGTTGCTTCTGGAGGGAGGTGGAGCCACTGGCAGCGGTGAGCTCTTCGAGTGAGCTGGGAGTCAGGTCTGTCTCGATGGCCCGAGTCTGCTTGCCTGGCTTCTGCTCAGCTGCCATGATAGACGGGCCTGGAGGGTCTGTACACCCAGATGTGCGGACTGGGTCTGGTAACACTGCCCCAGCCTTGAAGTTCCCATCACCAGCTCAGAGCCTGGCTCTCAGACAGGTAATAATATCAACTAATTGTCTGATGCTGTAGAGTCTAAAATAAGCTTCCACTTGCATATCCTGTGTCTTTTGTTTTTTTATCCCACATTTATCGAGCATTTCCTGAGCCTGTGCTGTGCTAGGAGCTGGGGCGCGTGTAGATGAGTAAGAGGTGGTTGGCTCCTGCCTGGGGACAGACACACACATATGCTACAATACAGGCTGGTCATGCTGTGGCAGAGACTTGCTTATCTGTGTGTCTGTGGATGCCCAAGGGGACGTACTTAAAGCCACCCAGGATACAGAGCTCAGAGTGGGCTTACGAGAAGTGTTGGTTATATCAGGGAATAGGCAATATTGACCAGATGTTCCTTTTGCTGCAGTGAGCGCTGTGCAGGTACGCTGACATTAAATCCTTGCAACAACCGCCGTCCCGTTCTGTACGTGCAGTCAGGGTGGCGATGCTCGGGCTGCAGCCCATATTTTCTGACTTCGACTCGGGTACCCGTCTGAGGACATTCTGTTACCTCTTGCGCGGCAGGGGTGCTCTTCAGAGCTAGAACTATGAGCCAGACAAACAGAACCATCTCCTCCACCGTTCCCATGGAAACAGCAAAATTGTCCCCTGGCTGGGGCCAACTAGCATCTGCCAGACCAAGACGTGTAATAATAATAATAACACAAAATTTTGAAATGCGGATGCCAAATGGGTACAAAAGTAATGTAACAATTTGACCTACCGCTTCTTAAAACCCGCACACCATTCCTAAGACAAGGGTAGAGTTAAGGCTCCTGAGTACTTAATTTTGCCTAAACAAATAACAAGTGGGAAGCAGATTCTGTGCTGCAAATTCAGTTCGGCTCTTAAAACTGGAGATAGATTGCTCTCGCACACTGGCACCCCATCACAACATCTGTGCGTAATTAAGCCTCAGCAAAGAGTTTACCTCTCGGTGTGTGAGGCATCTTCCAGTGGGCTTTAACAGCCTCAGCCTGTGCTACGGTCTCTGAGCCTCAGACCAGCGCTGAATGCAAATGCGGTGCTGGGGAGACTGGGAGAGGGTGAGGAGGCGGCCAGGCCGAACGGGCTGAGTGGTCAAGCCCAGGGCGTTTGTGCATTTGGCATCAGAGTGTGTGTGCTGGGAGAAGGGGCAGGGCACGCAGTGAGGTCTGTGACTGGCCTGGGAGGCAGGCAGCACAAGGTAGGAGGGAGAAGCCTTGTAATCCCAGAATCTGGGGCTGGAAGAGATGGGAGTGTGTCTCCCTATGGAGGTGGGGGTGGGTGGAGGCATCATCTCCTGAGTAGGGCCACTCCACTGTTTCTTTTCTTTTTTTAACTTTTATTGAATTTGGGGGTGACATTGGTTAATAACTTTATACAGATTTCAGGTGTACAGTTCTATAATACTTCATCCGTGTACCCCATTGTGTGTTCACCCCCTCCACTCTTCAGTTTCCTAATGTGAGGTTCGGAGCCTGGGACTCTCCAGATGTTGTGGACAAACCCTGTTAGATGAAGTGCATGCTTTTGGAGAAGTGCCAGTTTCCTAAGTCTCTCAGAGATTAACAACCGCTAATGTATAATAATATCAGTTAAGATTTTTTTGCATGCTTATGTTGTGTTAGATAATGTTAAAGTGCATTACACATGTTTATGTGTTAATCCTTATAACAGCCCCACAAGGGAGTCGTCATTATTATCCCCATGTCACCAGTGGGAACCCTGGGCCTCAAGAGATGAAGCCATTTGCCCAAGGCCACACAGCTTCTTGGCCAGGGGCAGAGGTAGGCTCTGAATGGAGGCAGCCTGCTCCAGAGCTTGCGTGTTAAACCACTGGGCTATTCTGCCCAGGTGGTAACTTGTGGGTCAGATCTAAATGATGCTGAGCTGTCTGTGACATTAACTGTGAGCTCTGGTTGTGTGTCAGAACCTCATGTGAAATGCTACATGGCTGTCACATGGCAGCTGATGTTTGTCCAGCAGCTGCTACGTGAGTGCTTCTGTATTGAGCACCAGGTATCCATCCACACATGCCACTAAGGAGCTGGGCATGTTGCTTCCATTGTCATTGCCATCATCATCCCTCAGGTGGGGCAACTAGTGCTCAGAGTGGCTCTGAAACTTAAGCCACTGTCACGGAGCTTGGAGGTGGCAGGGCTGGGGCTCCAGCCCAGCAGTCTGACTCTGAGTCTGCGCTCTGCTCTACTGGGCTTGGGAGATGGGGGTGTGTGGCCCTGGGTGACGGGCACTGGTCCAGACAAGCCAGGGCTGGCTTCACAGGTGTGCTGACCGAAACACAGGAACAGAGCGGAAGTCAGCCTGTGAGACCAAGGCCCAGGGTCTTGAGCTGGACCTTTCCGTAATCTGCACTCTCTTTCTTGGGGTCAGGACTGGCCCCACTGTGGGCGCAAGTAGAGGCCACAGGAGTGGGGCCTCTGCTTTGTGACAGGAGACCCTGGACACATAGGTCCTAATGGCCAGGGTGTGACCCTGCCTGTGGGGTCAGCAGGTGCCCTGGCCGTGAGCCTTCCAGGGTTTGGTCACGTTGGGGGGCTGCAAGACAGTGGTTCTTATTACCTCTTTAAAATTTTTCTCTTTCATCTTTCCTGTCCTTGATAGAAGCAAAGGAAGGCTCAGTGGTGAAACATGCATGTTTGGGCAAAGTGAATTTCACCTTACACCCCAAACCCTCCTGCCCACATGGTGATTTAGCGTCAGGTCCCCCTGTCAAGCCAAGTTCCTCCTAACTGAGCAGGGAGCAGTTTCACATTGTGCAGTCATTTCTGTGTTACATCCATCGAGGGGCAATGTCCTTTTTGAGCTCCCCTGACAAATGCCTCTGTCTCCCAGGTTTGATATTTCTGTCATTTCAGACCTAAGCAACTGAAGCAAGGGGCGCCTTCTGCTGTCAGACTGGCTTGGTTGCATTTGGGGGGAGGTGGACGGAGGTGATGGAGGGGAAACCCAGCACACCCCTGATCCTGGTTGGCAAACCCAGAAAGCCTCTGGGTTTCTCTTTCCATCGGTGGCTCTTTCCTGGCTGTTTGCACATTGCCCCAGGTGGGCCCTGCCTGCCTCCCTGTCTGACTGCCTCTCTCCGGAGTCCGAGTGCCCACTGCTGAGCTTCAGTTCCAAACACCCTGAGGGACGAACTTAACCCCAAAATATGTCCCTTTCATTTGGAAGCCACAAACAATAGCAGCAAACTTGTACTTATATTTTTATTTTAATTTTTTTGAAGCAGGTTTTTTATTTTTAAAGTATATTTTATGATTATGCTGTTATAGTTGTCCTATTTTTTTCTCCCTTTTCTCCCCCTCTGCCCTGTACCCCCTCCTTCCCGCACTCCCCTTTCCCCTTAGTTCATGTCCATGGGTTGTACACGTAAGTTCTTTGGCTTCTCCATTTCCTACACTATTCTTAACCTCCCTCTATCTATTTTGTAACTGCCATTGATGCTTTTTATTCCCTGGACCTTTTACCTTCATTCTCCCCTGCTTCCCTCCATGCAATCTCCATTTCTGTGATTCTGTTCCTCTCTAGTTGTTTGCTTAGTTTGTTTTTGTTTTTCAGGTTCAGTTGCTGATAGTTGTAAGTTTGTTGTCATTTTACTGTTCATAGTTTTTTATCTTTTTCTTAGATAAGTCCATTTAACATTTCATATAATAAGGGCTTGGTGATGATGAACTCCTTTAACTTGACCTTATCTGGGAAGCACTTGATCTGCCCTTCCATTCTAAATGAAAGCTTTGCTGGGTAGAGCAATCATGGATGTAGGTCCTTGCCTTTCCTGACTTGGAATACTGCTTTCCAGCCCCTTCTTGTTTGTAAGTTTTCTTTTGAGAAATCAGCTGACAGTCTTATGGGAACTCCTTTGTAGGTAACTGTCTCCTTTTCTCTTGCTGCTTTTAAGATTTTCTCCTTATCTTTAATTTTGGGTAATTTAATTTAATTATGATGTGCCTTGGCATGTTTCTCCTTGGATCTACCTTCTTTGGGACTCTGAGTGTCCTGGACTTGCATGTCTAGTTCCTTCACCAGAATGGGGAAGTTCTCCTTTATTATTTTTTTCAAATAAGTTTTCAATTTCTTGCCTTTCCTCTTCTCCTTCTGGCACCCCTATGATTCGGATGTTGGAAGGTTTAAAGTTGTTCTGGAGGTTCCTAAGCCTCTCCTCATTTTTTTTTGAATTCTCATTTCTTCATTTTGTTCTGGTCGAATGTTTATTTCTTCCTTCTGTTCCAAGTTTTTGATTTGAATCTTGGTTTCCTTCCCTTTACTGTTGGTTCCCTGTTTATTTTTCTTTATTTCACTTTGCATAGTCTTCACTTTTTCCTCTATTTTGTGATCATATTCAGCCATTTCAGTGAGCATCCTGATTACCAGTGTTTTGAACTCTGCATCTGATAAGTTGGCTATCTCCTTTTTGCTTAGTTCTTTTCCTGGAATTTTGATCTGTTCATTCATTTTGGCCATATTTCCTTATCTTGGCATACCTGTTATGTTGTAAGGGGCAGAGCCTTAGGTATTTTCGGGGCTGGGGCAAGCCACTTTGCAGTGTTGTGGCGCTTATGTGGGGGAGGGGTCAGAGAGGCAGCCATGCTGCTTGCTTGGCTCTCGCCCCGCTTGCATCCAGTTCCACCACTTCCCACAAGCGGATTGTGCCCTTGCAGGTGCTGGTTCCCAGGTAGGTGGGTTTGTGTGTGTTCTAGGATCCTGTGGGTCTCTCCAACAAACTTTCCTGTTAGGCTGGGAGTTTATCCCACTGCTGCAACCTCTGCAGGTTTTTATGGCCAGAGATTGTGAGTCTTTAGTTTCCTCACACTGGAACCCTGGGTGTGCAGTCTGTCTCGCTCCCCAGTTGTTCCTCCTGGTTTATCTGCATGTGAATGTGGGACTGCCCAGTCTGTGGCTGCCTTGTCATGTGTCCTTGCCACCCCAGCTTCTTGTCTCTGCCCCTCCTACCAGTCTGGATGAATGTTTCTTTAACTCCTTGGTTGTAGGACTTCCATGTAGTTAGATTTTCTGGCAATTCTAGTTGTTTTTCATTTTTAAATTGGTTGTTATTCTTCTTTTTTGGTAGCGTGAGGAAGTGAAGCATATCTACCTACGCCTCCATCTTGGCTGGAAGCCCATACTTATATTTTTAAAGATACCTTTTAAGAAATGCCACGTAGCCCTAGCCGGGTGACTTAGTTGATTGGAGCATTGTCCTGTGCACCAAAATGTTGCGGCTTTGATCTCTTGTCAGGGTACATACCTAGGTAGCAGGTTTGACCCTGGTTGGGGCAGGTACGGGAGGCAGCCTATCCATGTTTCTCTCTTACATCAGTGTTTCTCTCTCTCTTCCTCCTCCTCCCTCCATTTCTCTCTTTCTAAAACCAATAAATATATCTATCCTCAGGTGAGGCTTAAAAAAAATCCAAGCAAGAGTGAATTTTAAGTTCAAAGTAACAAAGAATCACAGATTTCTCTGTTGGCCCAGATTCTCAAATGGTAAAAACTGTAGGAAAGTAGCAAACATAAATGACACCTTGATTGTGTGGAACCTTTGTTCCAGGGAGCCCAGAGCATTACACCTTGCGTGTAAGCCCTAGTTACGCTCAGCCTCTGTATTGAGTGGGGGCAGGAACAGTCTCCTCTCTGATGAGGAGAACTAAGCACAGAAGAGCCCATGGGCTGGACTAAGTCACAACAGATATTAGCAGAACTGGGAGCAGCAAACAGGTGTTTGGACTTCAGGGCTGCTCTCTTGCTGCAAGGTGAGTTTTGGGGGTCGAGATGAGGGAAGTCCTAATTCCTCCCAACACTTCACTTCCCTTGTTTGTTTGTAAGTAGAAATATACCCATCATGTTGTTGGGGACAGGTGGCATGCTGATATCTGGTGACTCCTCCTTCCTGGCTGTGGTGGGACTGATGGGCGGCACTCACTCCCATGGCAGCCCGGCAGCCCTGGTGCAGTCCAGTCTCTTGCCTGTCCTTGGGGAGATCTCTTCCCTTTTTGGCAGTTGGATGTTTTCAGAGTCAGAGGGGGTTGGAGAGCATATCAGGTAGGAACGCATTTGTCTACAGGTGACTGTCAGACTGATTTAGAGAGTCTTAAACAAGAAAGGATTTATTTTCCTCACGTGGCAGGAAGGCTCGCAGAAGTTGCCTGCTGATACTGTCTTAGTGCTTTAACAAGATCAGGGCTGGCATCTCTGACTTTCTTGAGCTTTTCCTCATGTCACAAGATAGCTGCTGCAGAGTAAGAAGAGTTGCATCATCTATAAACACCTCATTTTTTAAAATCTAGAAAATAAAAACCTTCCCAGCCCCCCTAGTAGACCTCTACCTAGGATCTCGTAAGCCAGAACCGTGTCACGGGCCATACCTACTGCAAGGCCAGCGGGGGAAGTATTTAGTTTTTCCCGTTGCTGAGAAAGAGGGGAGGATTGGGAGTGGGTGTGGGTTAGGGTCCAGCGTTGTTTGCCACAGGGTCTTGTGTGTAGGAAATGGACACAGGAAAACTCATGACTTCCTGACTCAAAAAGTTATCATCCAGTAAACATCCATTTGTTCATACATGTATACATTCACACACAGGTACATTGCACCAATGGCCTAGGTGTAGAAACTGAGGCAGAGGGTTGGGGTTCACATTAGGTGACTGAAATGGGCCTGGTGAGAGAGCGAAATAGCTTTTAACACCAATTCTCGCTCAGGTGTGAGAGGTTCCACACACTTCTCCTGAAGCCCCAGTTTTAGGTTTGGCTTTTAATAGTATCTGGAAGGCACCAAGTGGGGCAGGGAAGCCATTCTCTGGTCCCCAAGCGGGAGGGGTCACTAAAGGAGGGGCCAGGGGCTTGGCTTGGGGAGGCGAAGCAGCCCTCCCCTCCTGTCCTGGCTCCCTCTTCCCACCTGTCACCGCTGAAGCCCCTCCAGGCCTTCTCTCCTGTTCCTGGGAGGAGTGCCTCTCGGTGGTCCTTACCCCCAGTTCCCGGCCCTCCAGACTTTCCTGACCTGCCCTTTCCTATTCCAGGTCCCCCAAATCTGCTGGGAGCTGTCCACGAAGCGGGTCCTCCTGATGGAGTTTGTGGACGGTGGGCAGGTCAATGACCGAGACTACATGGAGAGGAACAAGATTGACGTGAACGAGGTGAGGCTGACATGTCATGGCCGTGTGCCAGGGACGCAGGTTGGGTAGGGCTGCCCCGCGAGGACAGCTGTGCCAGGTGAGGTCTCAGTGCCCTGAAAGGGGGCCTGTTGTGTGAAGAATTATAAAATCTGAATACGAAGCATCCTTCCAGGCCATTTGGTACAACCCTCTATCCTGTCTCCTAAAGCTGGGGTTGCCAGCGCACAGAGGGGTGCAGGCACGTACAAGCCCCTCCTTACAGCTCCTGCCTGGACAAGTGATCGCCATCCAGCTTCTTGCACTGTCCGAGCTCCATGGGGCTGAGCGGCTGCAGAGAATGATGGTGTGAAATCCATGGAACTTAATCCTTCTGCCTCTTGGGGTCTGGACACAGCACCCTCCCTCTTCCCCCTCCCTGCTCCCTGCCACTCCCCAGATCTGAAGGTATCAGGCAAAAAGGGAACGGCAGCAGCCAACTGTTTCCACTTCCATAGAAACAAGGAAAAAGGGGCTCCTGTGTCTCACCCCGTGGGTCTCAGGGAGAGCTGCCCTGTGGGGAACCTGGACCCCATTTTCTTCTTGGTCCCCATAGGGTCCCGCAGTTGGGGGGGATTCGTCCTTTTCAACAACATTCATCGTTTTTATAGCCCCTGCTGTGTCCCAGGTGTGGAGGTTAGAGGGGAACCGGCACAGTTCCCTTCCTGAGGAGCTCGCAGCCTGCATTGGAGTTAGGTGCACAACCACTGGGCTTCCCTGCAAGAGTTCTGCTTGGGGGCAAAGGATAGAAAACTACTGTTCTAGCTCCACCCTCTGCTTTACAGACAGGGAGAAAAGTTCAGAGGGAGAGAGAGCAAATGTCTTTTCCAGGGTCACGTGGCCAGTAGCACAACTCGGGGCTTCTGACCCGGTCCCCTCACTGTCAGCCTCTAGGGTGGGCCTGGGGAGGGTGGGCAGAACTGCCTGCAGGGGAGGGAGGAGGAAATCTGCTTGCCCATCCTCTCCCCTATTGCTTGGTGTGGGGGTATGACCTACAGCTAGCTAGGGGTCTTTTTCCCACCAGGACCCTTGAGTACAAAATCCTGGGGTCCAGTTGGAAAAGGGGTGGGGGAGGTGACCTTTGGCTTGTTTTGAACAGCCTCAAAGGGAAGCAGGGGCTGTCTGCCTGCTGGTCAGGAAAGATACCAGAGGCCTCACCCCCTCTGCCCCACCCCAACCCACCCCAGGTTACTGGTATGCCAGCTGCTGTGGGATTTTCATTTGGGCAGTGCCCCCAAATCCATTAAACTCTTTGGATCCAGTGAGCTCAGGCTGTAATGGAATTTAACCAGAGGCAGCTTTGATTTCAGAGATGAGTACAATACAAACAAAGATGTGCTCTGGTATAGCTGCTTGTTTGTGGCTGGGCGAGGTGCTTGGTAAGAGGGGACAGCTGGGCCGGAGGTGGTCAAAATCGGTGGGTGCTGAGGCAGGGTCTCACCCGCTCCTGTCTCCACAGGGCAGACAAGATCCGTGCTCTGTGCAGAGTGGAACCTCTGTTGACATGCTGCGAATTAGTCTGTGGGTAAATAAACTGGCCTCGCGCCCTGGGCTGGCTTCTGTGAGGCAGGGCTGGTGTAGAGTGTTGGTTTTCTGTGAACATACGTAGTTGGGCATGCTGATATCAGAGCGATTTGGGAAAACAGTAACAATAACAGTAATTATTACATACAACTAACATGTTCCAAGCGTGCGACACGTCTAGTCTCCGCTCCTTACCAGTGTCCCACTGAGGATGTGTTATTAACCCCATTCACAGATGAGAAAGCTAAAGCTCAGAGAGCTTAAACCACTTGCCCAACATCACACACCTAGCAGAAGCAGAGCCAGGATTTGAACCCAAGTCTGGCTGTGTGTGTTCTTCTCTACCTTCTCCATCTCCCTCCCAGCGGCTGGCCTTGGGCTGCACTGGAATCTGGGCCACCTGATCGATGGCCACATTGGTAACCCTGCAAGGCCGGAGCTGGAGGACTGGCTGAGAAACCTTACCTAGTGGCCCAGGCAGTATCTGACTGCAGTCCTTCTCCCCGCAGCTTACGTCAAGGGTCGTTTCAACTGTCTCATGCAAACATTGTCCCACTTGAGAGAGATGTGTGGACTGAGTTAGTGCACCAGCAGGGCTTAGCATAACGCCTGGAATATGGTTAGTTCTCAGAATCGGTAACTAGTTGATGTTGTTTTCATTGTTAGTATCACCCCCGGGCTCTGTCCTTTCCTCCTTTACCTCCTTTTACACGGGTGTTGGCTGACCGATGACTCCCTGTGCCAGGCTGTTTCTGCACTGGGGGGCCTTAGGAGGGAGGTCTTATTGTTTCCATGTGCAAGTGAAGCGTCAGAGACTCAGACCGAACTCATGCAAGGGCCCAGATCCGAACCGTCTGCCTCTGAGTTTTCACAGGGGTGCCCCATGCAGTCACCAGCCAGGAACCGTGCAAATCGTTTCCACCCCCTGGCAGGCTCCCTCATGCCCCCTCCCAGTCGATGCCCTCACCTTGACTTCTGTCACCACAGGTCACTTTTGCTCATTACTGAACTTCAGGTAACTGGAGTCATACTGAATAGTCTCTTAGGACTGGCATCTTTGTCATCAGTCAGCTGTGGCTCTTTTGGAAGCTCTGTTCTCTTCCGTTGGTCTGTGGGTGTACCCTTACCATAATACTGTGCTGTCTTAATTCCTTAGGAGTTTCTAAGGAATCAGTTGCTTAATTCCTTAACTGCCTGCCCTGGCTTCTAGCATCTGTATGACCAAGGAAGCTCTTTTGTATTCTGAGGTGATGCCATGAACTACTCCCGCAGAAAACCCAGGCTGGCCAGGGGGCTGTGGACTGTGTTCCCCACTGCGCTGTGGCGGAGCATTGGTGGTGCTGGGAGCACACCAGCATTGGGCCCTACTTTGCAGAAATCAATCTATTATGCCTCTTACCAACCAACACCAAAGCCACAGGCCTCACGGAAGGCCGATGGTGTGCATGTGTGTGTATGAGCATGCACACACAGAGTGTGAAAGAAGCCACGTTGCTGAGTTTCTCTGAGGTTCTAAAGTCTCCCTGGGACTGTGGGACTCAGGGACATCCTTAGGGACTCTTCCTCCTGAGGACAGCCTGGCTGTGTGTGTTCCTTGGGGAGGGAAGTATAAGGGACAGATAAAAGTGACAAGGGCCAAATCCTGGGGCGGGGGGTAGGGGAGGTAGGGTAGGGGAGCGCCAGGTTAGGAAACAAGAGACCTGGTTTCATACTTCAGCTCTGCCAGGGGCTCACTGTGTAATCTTGGACAAATCACTCTCCCTCTCTGGGCCTCAATTTTTTTATTGAAGGTTTTGGGCTAGCCGGATATTTGAGAGAACAATGATTCTCAGCTTGCTGGGAGGAGGAACTTGAGCCACCTATTTCAGAATCAACAAGGCAGACTTTTTGGCCCCACCCCAAATTGACTAAGCAGAATCTGGGTTGGGAAGGGTTGAAGAATCTGCATTTTAACCAATTCTCCAGGAGGGTTCTAATACTCAGTGAAGTTCAGGAATCACCTGCCACAAGGCCAGAGGGCCTGGGCGCCTATGATGTTTTGTACCTCTGGACACAAGGCAGCCCTGCCCAGGTGTCCTCACCTGCCAGGGAGCATGGGGCCATGGGGAGCCAGCTGCCCACAGGAACCCTGTTTGCCTGTATTTCTGAGCTCAGAAGCAGATATTATGGAGGGCCTGACCTGATGATCATATTTGCCAGTCACTTTAAGAGCTGGCGACAGTGACTGTCATTGATTTCATTAAAAGTAAAGGTCGTGCAGGAGTACACGTTACCAGGCCGGATGGAGCCTCCTCAAACCACAGGGCGACTATTGATTGCGGGACCTTTATCGAAGGTTAATTGGATTTCAGTGAGTGTGTATTTAAGACCCAGCCTGGGCTGAGGCCCAATTGAATTTGTGTGAAATTAGCCCCGAGAAAGGTGACAGAGGCTTGAGTTTGGGGTTGGCAGGACGGGGACTGGAGGCCTGGTGGGCGGCCATCTGCAGTCTGCGAAGAATGGGGATGGGGGGCTCGCAAAGACTCCAGTCTGTCTGTTCCAGAGGCCTGGGAGCCAGCTGAGAGGGGGGCCGGGGGCACCCGGTGGTGGTTATGTGGACTTTGACTCGGCCCTCTGTTCTCGATGGCCCTCCTGGCTCGTGGCATGGCCTCCAGAGGCTGTCGTCCTTTTACTTGTGTCAGGGTTAGGAGGGGAACTAGGGGCTTAGTTCTTACTCTGAAAGTCTTTCTACTAATCCTTCTGTTTGGGGCCCCCAACTGCTGTTTTCAGAGGTGCCAGTTGTCCTCAGTTGCATCCTCTCTGGGTCTGAGTCCCTCATTTATGGAGTTGGAGGGATCACAATACTTACAGCACAGGATCGTCTGCAAGCTGTGAAGTTCTGTAAAAAAAAAGTCATTTATAATCCGTGAGGTTATTATTCACAGAGGCATGTCTCCCTCCAAAGGATCTTTGAGAATTTTCTCTGCTCCCCTCCTGTCCACCTCCCTCTGTTGTCTGTGAGTGATGCCCATCGATCGAGCATGTGGTGACTTCCCTCCACCACCTCCTTAGACTTTCCCTTGCCCCGCCTGTGCCACCAAGGACTGAATAAGACGTTTCTCTTTTGCTCAGCACATCTCCCACTGACTGGACTTCTCAGGCTCTGTGGTGGGCGGTGCTCCCGAGACCAGGGAAAAGAAGCTGCAGAGGCATGCAGACCCTAGTTACTGAAGTCACTGCGAAGAAAACACCTTCCATCATTGTCCCTCCGTAACTTCTGGGACTGCATCTTGAGAGGCTCAGGGTTATTGAGGGGGTGGCGAGGTGGGGGGGGAGTCAAGGGCACAAGATGAGTTCCTGGAGATTCATTCCCTAGTAGCAGGGCTGCCAGGAATGGGGACCAGTGTCACTCTGGACTCAGCTTCCCTGGGCTTGGTGCTGCCTCTGCCACTTATCAGCCGTGCCTCTTCGGCGGAGCTAGT